ATCAATCGTTGATAATTGAGTGAGTTTTAACTTCTATTTTCAGATTAAACTAAAAAGCATTTAAATTTGTACATGTGCAAGAAATTACATAAGAAAGTTACTAAAAATTAAATTTCATACAGACTATTTGGTAATCCACGTTACATCTATAACATGTGATATTTTCTGATGACATTGATCTATCCCAGTGTATACAATTTTGATTCTCCTTGTTGCAAGTCCCAAATATTTGTCTTTTAATGAGGATTGTTGCAATTGGAGTCAAGGACTTGAATTCTTCCCTACAATATTTCAATTTGTAGAAATGATTAGGTAGTTTTACTAATTTCATTAGAATTTGTATACCTCTGTTGTCATGTACAGTAAGTAGAGCAATGGCTGATATATTGCTTGCATGTTATATTTTTGGCAAACTGCAATCAATAGTTTTAATCCCATATATGTATCATGTTCGATGAAGAACAAATGTGTTCCCAACAGTTGCAAAGCTTGTTTATTTTCTACTTCTGCAAGTGTCTTTAGAATTGAAAGTCCTGTTGTTGTTATTGTTGGTACTTTGTGTCGTTGTTTCAAAATGTCCATTCTTTGTAATATCTGTTTTATGTTTGCTTGTTTGTTCAGAGATTTGCACCTATAAATTGTACTGTAAGTAATGGTTTCGAAGCACAAGATTCGTAATAGTTAAAAAAAAATCCATAGTTGGGAGTCACAATACCATTACCTTATGATTAAGTAATTAAGAATAAATAAGTGCACCAAATATGACTCACTTAAATATGGATCCTAAAATGCTTTTTGTTTTTTGTTTATTAGAAAACTATTAACAACTAAAGATGCAGATAGTTTAGTAGAGTCATTTCTATGGTTAATCGTTATTGTTATAAGACTGCTGCGGAACAAACTATTATCCTATTGTTATTAGTTGTATATTTAACCATTTTGTATAATATCATTTTCTGTATGACTAAGAAAATAATGAAATCAATAGACTAATGAAATACGATAGTTTTAGTAAAACTTACGTTAACCGTATTGCTTGTAAAGTGGTGTGATCTTTGTTTGTTGCTTTCACAATGATTTGTTGTAGAATTTTTTATGGTAATTGTAACAGACATGTGCGTTGTTTTTTTGAAAGGAATCATGATGTCTTGGTGTTGTTTTTTGGGTGCAAGTGTATGGAAATTATCTTGTCGATATAGTATTATGGTTTATATAGTTCGCGTGTGGGTAGCGAACAGTTTTTTGTTTTCTTTGGTATTTCAACTGCTTAGATAATGTTCTGTTTATTATTAATATGAGTCAGTGTTGTTACCTGAATCTGGTTTTTAATAGTTTTGTAAATTAATGATGGTTGTATTAATCATTTAATGTTAAGTATTACTTATATTTAAATGTAAACAATCTGCATTCATGTTAATTTCTATATAGGTATATTAAACATTTGAGATATTTGATTAATACGAATTTTTTTAAACCCATGGGAAACGGATCGTGTTTCATCAAAATAAATGTTTTCTTTTATGAATTCCATTAATATCGTATAAATATCTACATAAACAGTGTCATTTATTTGATCAACACTTTAACAAAAGTTGTACATTAAGATTGACAGTAAATATCACAACACAAGATATCAATATCACATCAATCAAAAAGTAAAATAATATTTTGTTAACTATTAAAGTCGGATGTTGTGATGATGTGATAATGTATCAATTAATATAAAATATTTATACGGTTCGGCTGTGTTTTGTTTAATTAGGAATACAAAAGAAAAAAATTGCAATATTTATAAAGATGTTATAATAAATGAACATGGTTGTTTAAGAAGAATAAGATCTAACTGGCATGAGTTTAATAGAAAGGATAAGAAGAATAAATTGGAAAAATAACATTGATTGTATGATTAGACCATATAATATTCAGGTAGTCTTCTCAACTTGCATGAGTGATTTAAGTTTGTATCACTTTAATATTATGTAAATTATTTATTTAAAATTTAAAAGTCTTTTTTTTTTTTTTTTTTTTTTTGAGAATACAAAAGGTGCTTTGGAAAAACCAATAAATGTATAGTATTAAGTAAACATACTGATTGAAAAAACGTTAATAACTTTTTGGATAAGAGGATACGAAACGGTAGCAAACGTAATAAATATTTTGTTAAGTATTCAAGTAAGAAACATCATGATGATATTATGATATATCGGTTGAATGGTGAATAATTGTTCGGCAACCGTGCTCCAATTGGATGTTATCGTTTGGTGTGGGATTTAATTTGGTTGATAAAAAAAATGATTTATCTTGTCTGGTAATGACTTTTTTGAATTTGTGTTGGTATCACTTTAATACTATGTAAATTATTGATTTAAAATTAATTAAATTTTTTTTTTTTTTTTGAGAATACAAAAGGTTCTTTGGGAAAACAAATAAATGTCTAGAAATAAGTAAACACGTTGATCAAAGAAACGTTAACAAGTTCTTGTATAAGAGGATACGAAATGGTAGCAAACATAATAATTATTTCATTAAGTATTCAAGTAAAAAATGTCATGATGATATTTTAATATATCGGTTGGATAGTCAATAATGGTTCGGCAATCGTGCTCCAAATGGATGTTATCGTTCGGCGTGGGATTTAATTTGGTTGATAATAGAATGGAAGTTTTTTTTCAATGTGCGATAGGAATGTTTATTTATAGATTTTGTTAATTTACATTATAATATATTTAGATTGATGTTTGTCAAGCATGGGTAGACAATCCAATGAGTTTTAATTTCTATTTTTAGAATAGATTAAAAAACATTTAAATTTTTACATGTGTAATAAATCATATAAAGAACTCAGTAAAAATTATATTTCATACATACTATTCGGTAATCTACGTTACATCTTGGACATGTGATATTTTCTGGCAATATTGATCTGTTCCAATGTATATGATTTTGATTCTCTTTGTCGCAAATCCAAAATATTCTCCTTTTAATGAGAATTGTCGTAGTTGGAGTCATGGACTTGAACATTTCCCTGCAATTTTTCAGTTTGTGGAATTGATTAGTTAGTTTCACTAATTTCATTAGAATTTTTACACCTTTACTGTCGTGCATAATGATTAGAGCAATGGCAGTCTGATACATTGTTTGCTGGTTATTTTGTTTGCAAGATGCAATAAGTAGTTGTAATCCTCATGTGCCACGAAGAACAAATGCGTTCCAAGCAGTAGTGAAGCATGCTCATTTTCTACTTCTACAAGGATCTTCAGAATTGAAAGCCCTGCAATTGTTATTGTTGGTAGTTCATGTCGTTGTTTGAAGATGTTTATTCTATGTAAGACTTGTTTTATGTTTGATTGTTGGTTTAGGGATTTGCATCTGTAAATTGTAAGGTAAATAATGGTTTTCAAACACAAGATCCACAATAAAAAAAAAAAAAAAAGGTGTTTTCCAAACACAAGATCCACAACAACAAAAAAAAAGTGTAAATAATAGTTTCAAACAGTTGATAATCATAATATCATTACTTGTAGGATCAAGAAGTTAACAATAAAAAAGTGTGAAAAATATGGTTCAGTTAAATATCCATTCTAACATGTGTTTTGGTTTTTATGTATTAGAAAGTTGTTAAGAACTAAAGACACAAGTGATTCAGCATAATTTGTTTCAATTGTTGGAAGTCGACATATGGTTTTCTATATGACTAACAAAACAATGAAATCAACAGATTAACGAAACATGATGATATTAGTAAAACTTACATTGTATTGCTTGAAGAGTGGTGTTGTTATTCTAAATTGCTTTTGCAATGATTCAGTGCAATATTTGTGATGGTAATTGTAACAGGTTTGTGGGTTGTGTTTTTGTTCTTATGTAAGGAATCATGTTGTTCTGGTGGCTTTTTTTTTTGGTGTAAGTATATGGAAATTATAAAGTTGTTACGGTCTTAGTGGTTTATATAATATTTGTGTAGATATTGGATAGTGAACAGTTTTCTGTGTGTTTGGATTTGATAGATATTATCGTGTTAATTATTAATAAAGTTAGCATTGTTATTTTGAATCTCGTTTTTAGTATTTTTGTAAATTAATGATGGTATTTTTATTTCGTTGAACACTAATTATTTGATTTTGTTAGATACATCAGATATCGTTGCTTCATTATTTATTCTACCGAGAAAAATTCATTATTCTATTCAATGAATCAAATTTTTTTTGGTCATAATCATTTAATGTTAAGTATTAATTTATCTCAAGTGTAAACAGTTTGCATTCATCTATATCTCTACGTAGGTATATTAAGTATTTGATACATTATATTAGTACGAATCTTTTTAAATTCATACAAATTAATGTATTGAATGATATTTTGTGCATTGTACATGAATGATGTGCATATCTTATGCAGGTGCCAAATGCTTTAAAAGTTCTATGAGATAATTGAGCAATTGGTCAAATGAAAGAGGGTGCCTCTACCGTAAGAAGATAGGAGGATTTGGACACTGACTTATTGGTGAAAATCTTCCTGTGTTTTAATTTTTTCCAGTTGACTTCAGGGATTTCTCACATTTGTAATTCATGGCGTTCAGCTTGTTGTGATCCGCTGCTTTGGAAAACTCTTGATTTGTCAATGTTGAGATCAAATTTTATCAAAATCCCATTACAACCATATGTTTACGTGGATGAGTTTTCTGATAAGACATTGACTCATTTGTTGAACATTTCGTTGAGTCTCAGTCAGGGATAGATAAAAACCTTGATTTTTTACTTCAATTTGTATGTAGGGGATGAACAATTTACTTATATTGGTAAAAGGTAATTATTTTATGTTTATATTTAAAACCTTGCTGAAAGGTGATTTTTTTTTTCTTGCTATTTATTGACTGAGTCTTTGGCATTGCCTTTGGTACCAATGATCATCACCTTTAATTTTCTTTTTGGTATAGTGAATTAGGAGGTAACCCACCATATATTGTTGTTTGCAGGTGCCCCCATTTGAGGCATCTCACTATGCCAGCTTGGAATAGAATAAAGAAGGATGTAATTTGCAAGGCCATTCATACATGGAGATCTCTTGAATCCCTGACAATGCCTAGTATAATGAATCCACCTTATCTTATAGTGGAAATAGCCCTAAATTTCAAGAACTTCAGTGAACTCAAGGTCATAGGTCCTTTTGACGTTCTCTTTGCTTCTACGATAGCCAAATTTCTTCCAAATTTGAAGATTTTGAGCTTGAGATGCTCAGTGATAGTTAAGGATGCCATATTGCTTGTATTGGATAACCAACCAAATCTGGAAGTCCTCAACATATCACATTGTCTTGTTATAGAAGGTCCACTGCTTCCTTCACTGATGCCCGAAAAAATTATTAAGAAGCTAGATAAAATTATCTTGGAGAATGCTGCTTGATTACATGAGTTCTTAACATGTACTGAGCACTCGTGCATCATGTGCCAGTGTTCTCAAAGTGATAAAGGCTTTATGAGGTGGTACAAGTATGAAGAAAGTCTATGGAAAATGGATGAGGCGAGGTCTCTTGCTCTTTGATTGGGACACTGTAGAGACTATAATTTTAATATTTTGTTTTGCTTGTATGTAATATCTAGATAATATGTTGTTGAATAAGCGTATATAGAATTGGTCCATTGTGTTTTAGGTTGTCATCCTCCTCATGCTTTTGTTTTAGTTCGTCAACATTGTAATACTTGCATGATGATCTTCTCCCATGGGAAAAGTATTATTAGTATGCATAATTATGTACTTATGGTAAAATTTCACTTTATGTTGCTTCAAGTTGATCTTTTGTTGTCCATTAATGTTATTTCAAAATGAAGTGGTTTCAAAGTAATATGCAATTGAGTATTTTATATATTTCAATTCATGTTATTTATTTTGTAATTGTTAGTGTCAAATTCATTTCTATTGTCAGGTTTAGTATTTGATAGTGAGATTTTGAAGGAATTTTTGAGTTTCCCTTCTTTTATTCTTTGATGATAAGTTATAGTGACATTGTTCGACTGAAGTGGTAATATTAAAGTTTTACAGTGCGCTGTCATTTTGGCTTTGTAAAATTCGTAAATGATGAAAAACGTTGCTATTTAGATAGCTGTTGATATTTAAAGAAAATATGCAGATTTGATATTTAGTATTTTACTTGAAGTAAATTTGGGATTTAGGGTTTTCTCTATCAGTTTCGACTTTAAAGGCATTTGTCCCAGTCCGTTTGTCACGATTTCCATGTCCATCTTTTCTCCTTGACTGAATTTGAGATAAGTAAAGTAAATTTTCTATAGTTACAGTGATAATGTCATTTTTATTTTACATTGGTCTAATTAATTTGTCATCGATTTTAACTTTGATTAAAGTGCATGTTATTCTTCTGGAGTTCTGAGATTTGTTATTATTGTTATAAGAAATTATTGTTAGATGGTTGTGCTCATGTTGTTTATTGGTTTCTCTGGTAGTCGTGTTGCAGATTGCTCTCTCGATAAGTTTACTGCTGAAATTAGTGTCTTTCTTACTACAATTTTGTTTATTCAGGTGAGGTTGTTTATTTGTTGTCCTGGTAGTCGCGTTGCACACTATTTTCTCGGTAAATCTACTACTGGAATTGGTGTTTTTCTCATTACAATTTTGTTTATCATCTTGTTGTATTTAGTGTATATAGTAATACTGTCATTGATTTATGAATTGATGTTATGAAATGCCAGTGGTACAAATGCTTCAGAAGTTACCATCATTGTTATCGTGTAATTATCTATTTATTTTTCAGAACAGTTGTCAAGGTTTTGGTATTCTCTATAGTACATCTAAGATATTGTTGTTTTAATTTGTGTCTCCATCACATATCAAGAAGAATAAATGTCTCCCAAGTAATAACAAAGGTTTACAATTTCTATTAAGTTGAATGATTGTATGTTTTCTCTATTTTTATTTATTTGATGATATTATTTTTTCATTGTCGTAATGGCTCCAAAAAACTTGATGAAATTTATTCAAAGACTTGATTCCGAAGTTCCATATAAAGAAGGATCAAGCAGTGATTCCAAGTCAGAATTGTTAATGCCTTTACAAACTCTTGTTTTACCTAATTTTGGTTCCGGCCATGTTAAATTGATTGAAGAAGAAGATAATCAGTCAGAAGAAATTCCATTATGTAGATCGGTGAAACAGTAGAAAACCTGTCAACAAGAGGGTTCAAATACGAATTCTGAACGAAAATGGAAAAATCCTTCTAAAGAAGAGCTAGACAGCAAAACATTTAGCCTAGGGAAAGAGGTAACGTTTTTTCTCTTTATCATATGAATATATACTTTATTTGGCACGATGATGTTAATGTGGTTTCATTGTTTTTGAAATAGGTTTATGAAGGTTTCTTAGAAATCAGAGAACGTTGGCTTGTGTTAGAGGATGTGATCTCAGATTTGAAAAAAGAAAATGAACATGTGATTTCCGAGGTTCGCAGATTGGAAGAACAGTTGAAAATATCAAAGGAGGCGTTTGAAAAGGTCAAAACCGAATTGAAACACTATCAAGAATCATCTAGAAATGCTAAACAGTCTTTTGCAAATGAGTGGTAGCAAAAGGAAGTCTTTAAAAAGAAAAGTAATGAATTGTTTGAAGAAAATGATAACATCAAATCTTTAACTGCACAAGCTGAGAAAGATAAAGAAGAGGCTTATGATTCGGTGTCAGAAATATTTTTGGCCACCAGAAAAGCTTGTGTCAAAGAATTTAAGAACAAGTTTCCAAATGAAGATTCTAGTTTTTTTAGAGACAATTGCGTTGAAAAATGAGAAGATGCTACCTAATGGAGATTATATTGACTGCAATGCAATTGTAACTTTCTCTGGTCCACTTAATGCCACTTCTATAAATTTTTAAAATGTTCATTAAATATTTTGACAATATTTTGGTAGTATTTGCCAATATTTTGACAATATTTGCCATGCAAGTGTTTATAGTTGTGTTATTATTACGGATGTGGAAGCATTCAGTTGATGCTAATTTTTGTGCATACGAAAAAAAGTCTTTAGCCCATGTAATGTTGCTTTTGTAGATCTTTGAAGTGTTTAATAGTCCTATTGATGTTAAATATCTTGACGATGTCTGTCGTGCAAGAGTTTGTGGTTTAGTTGCGTATGTAAGAAATATGCATTTATAATACATATAATGTAGCATTCATTGCACCTGACAATAATGATATAGAACCTCTAAATATCTTTGTATCAAGGAATTTATGTTTCTGTATATATTTGAACATTTAATGTGACCTTTTCATATTCATACAAATATCTTCAATTTTTCACATTAATCTCTCATAGACAATGTCTTATATTATATACAATGTATCAATCCTTTCTGTTACAAATAATGCTTTTTATTATATATAACATTTCAATCCCTTTAATTAAACACTTCTTGGAAAAAATGTTTGTCAATGTTTCTGCCTGTTCATCTTGTTGCAGGGGTAGCAGAATCTCGATACCTTTTCTTGAGGTTACTCTTGATTGTGCAACGTATAATTGACCACGTGTAAAGACCTAATGTTTCATATACAATCCTATTGTTTTGAGTGATTGACCCTGCTTTTGTTTATTGTCATACAAAAGCTAACTATCACAGGTAATTGTCTTTTCTTCAACTTGAAAGGCCACTTCATAAATGCATTCGACATTATTATTCTGGGAATTGTAACAATATCCCCAATATTTGACCTAGTAATAATCACCGCTTGTATGGACCACTTTCCTAAATGGGTTATAATCAGTCTGGTTCCATTGCAAAGACCATCAGATTGATTCAAATTACGCTGCAACATAATTGGAATGCCAATCTTTAGATGCAATTCATGTTTGGGAATGTTGGAGAACATCAGAGAATTAAGAAATTTGGTCGGATAGAGAATGTCATCATCGTTTGAGATATCTGCTGTTTTGCAAGTGTTGTCTGAGCTAAAATACGTCCTTCCATCTATTGGCAGACTCTGGGTGATATAGTCGTTCAATCTATGTACTGTCTCATTTTTTGGTGTCAATATTGCTCTCTCTCATATAGTCAATATTATTTATTTGAGCAGATAAATCTGAAAAAACAACATTCATAATTGTTTCTTCATCACTGGTATGTTGATCAATTTTCAAGTCTTCAAGTATTTGAATGTTAACTCTCATCTTCTGCAATGTCCCTTCCTTCTCCAATATCAAGTAACCATTTGTCAAAAGTCTTCAAGTTATCCAATTCTGTCGGGTTTACCAAGTTTGTCTTCAATCTCATGTTCTCCGTAAGTCTCAAATTGTTACATGTTTCCAAAGGGTTGATGATGATAAACAGGATTGTATTATGTCATGTTTTTTCCCTTTTGGTATAACTGGTAGAATCTGTCTGAAATCACCACCCAGGGCAATAGTGATGCCTCCAAATATTCTATATGTATTTGATTGATCTTTTTCAAACAAAATATCTTTCACAGTTCTATCAAGAGCTTCAAAGCAATACCTATTTGCCATGGGTGCTTCATCCCAAATGATCAAAGCTGTTTGCTTGAGTAGTTTTGCCAATTGTGTCCCCTTTTTGATATCACATGTACTTTCCTTAGTGATATCTAAAGGGATTCGAAAACGTGAATGTGTTGTTATTCCATCGGATAGCAGCAATGCATCAATTTGTGATGTAGCTACAGCCATGACAATTTTACTCTCGTATCTTAATTTGGCTATGATTGTTGACCATAGGAAGGTTTTGCCTATTCCACCATGTCTGTAAACAAAAAACGGTGTTCCATTTTGATTGTTGGCGGAATCAAGGATTGAATCATATATGTGTCTCTGGCCATTGTTGAGACCTTTGTATAAATCACTGTGCAGTGTTTTCATGTTGTCAATATCATAATTTAATTTCTTGGAAATTAATCTATTCTATGAATTCTCAAAAATGGAATAGTTTGGAATTGGCATTCTAGGGAAATTAGACAATGATTTTCCTGCCTTTTTCATTAGCTCTTCAATTTCAAACAATGCATGATTCTGAATCTGTTCCTTAGTGCATCTTAATTCTATCATCTGCATTTTATATTTAAGAATGTAAGGAATGTCTTTAGATAGGCATTTTGCATTTGCTCTCCACAAGTCTTTTGGACTCACCACTTCATTATATACAAGAGTAGTTACAAAAAGTTGTCTTAACTTTCTTCCGATAGCCCATGTTTATGCTTCATCCAAGCAATCATTCCACTCTTTATCATCATCCAGAATCCTAATGCATAACATGAATCTTTGAATGTACTGAATATTTCTCCGTTGATAGTTCAAATGATGTTGCTCCTCTTACTAAGTTCAGAAGCATTCACAAATAATATTTCTCACCGCTACCTACCTAGAAATGCAAAATACACCCTGCCAATACACCTT